GTTTACATTCCCGATGTCAGGGCATCTAATTACATTACGAAATACTTCTTGACATTAAATTTCAGAAAGACTCCCATACAAGAACACAGGGGGATTGCAACATACCCCTACCACTAATAGGGCTCAAAATATTAAATCAATAAAGATATTTCCAATCTAAATAATATTATAATCTAGTGGATCTAACAGACATTTACAGAATATTTCACCCAAGAATAACTGAATTCACTTTCTTATCAGCAGCTCATGGAACATTTTCCAAAAAGGCCATGTTCTATGTCATGATGTCAATTTTAACAAATACCAAAAAAAAACAAAAACAAAAAACTGATATACTTGCATGCATCCTATCAGATCATTATGGAATAAAACTAGAACATTAAGAAAAATTATAGAAACCACATAAACACAGGGAGATTGAACAGTACTCTTAAATCAAGAATGTATCCTAAGAGAAATGAATGAAGAAATAACGAAATTATTAGAAACAAATGAAAACAGAGATATAATACATCAAAATCTCTGGGACAGCATGAAGGCGATTCTTTTTTTTTTTTTTTTGCTGCTGCAATCAGCTATCTGTCTTTTTTTATTAATTTTTTATTTATATATGACAGTGGAATGCATTACAATTCATATTACACATATAGAGCACAATTTTTCATATCTCTAGGTGTATACAAAGTATATTCACACCAATTCGGGTCTTCATACGTGTACTTTGATAGTGATGCCAATCACATTCCACCATCATTGCTAACCCCATGCCCCTTCCTTTCCCCTCCAACCCTTCTGCCCTATCTAGAGTTCGTCTCTTCCTCCCTTGTTCCCCCTCCCTACCCCACTATGAATCAGCCTCCTTATATTAGAGAAAACATTCAGCATTTGGTTTTTTGGGGTTGTCCAACTTCACTTAACATTATCTTCTCTAACTCCATCCAAAGTTTCTTCTCAGCAGAAGAAACAATCTGTGAGATGAATAGAGAGCCTACATCTTGGGAGCAAACTTTTACCCCTCACACATCAGATAGAGCACTAATCCCTAGGGTATATGAAGAACTCAAAAAGCTAAGCAACAATAAAAAAAAATAACCCAATCAATAAATGGGCCAAGGACCTGAACAGACACTTCTCAGAAGATGATGTACAATCAATCAACAAATATATGAAAAAATGTTCAGCTGTGCCTCTTCATCCTCCCGTCAGTCTTGAACTGTGAGGACAGCTCTTGTGCTGTGGCCTCACCTCTCCACAGTCCTGAGAAGGTCCACTCTTCAATTTGTTCAGCTTTCACTTGTGGTTAGCAGGCACTGGTGACCTCCAAGGTCTTCCATTCACTTGCTGATCCTCTCCCTTCCATGCTGTACTGCTAGCAAGTGCACAAAGTTTTCAAGATATGAAGTGGCAGGAGGTGACATCCAAAGACACCTTTATGCAATGTCTTAATTTACATGTTATGACTCAAAATATAACATATTGGGTAAGCTCCATAGGAAACTAAGTAGTTGAAACTAGAAAAATGAGACTTTTGTGGTCTTTCAACTGGGCCAATTTCTTTAAGTGGCAAAGCCTGATTTGGGAGTAGAAATGAAGGGATGGGCACTCTCAATCACTTCTGGCAGGGTTTCAAACTTATACTATTATTTGGAAGACAATTAAATAATATCTCTCAACATTTTAGTTTTGTCAATTTTTTCAATTGTTTCTTTTGTTTCGATTTCATTAATTTCAGCTCTGATTTTAATTATTTCTTGTCTTCTACTTCTTTTGCTGTTGTTTTGCTCTTCTTTTTCAAGGATTTTGAGATGAAGTATGAGATCATTTATTTGTTGGTTTTTTCTTTTTTTAAGGAATGAACTCCAAGCAATGAATTTTCCTCTTAGAACTGCTTTCAATGTGTCCCATAGATTCCGATATGTTGTGTCTGTGTTTTCATTAATCTCTAAGAATTTTTTAATTTCTTCCTTGATGTCTTCTATAACCCATTGATCATTCAGTAACCTATTGTTCATTCTCCAAGTGATGTATTCTTTTCCCTTCCTTCTTTTATTGTTGATTTTCAGTTCCATTCCATTATGATCAGATAAGATGCATGGTATTATCTCTACTCCTTTATATTGTCTAAGAGTTTCCCTGTGACATAATATATGATCTATTTTTGAGAAGGATCCATGTGCTGCTGATGAAGGCGATTCTAAGAGAAAAGTTTATAGCAATGAATGCCTACATTTAAAAAATAGAGAGATCTCAAATAATCTAAATCTACATATCAACACCTTCTAAAGGGAAGAACAAACTAATGCCAAAATCAGTAGAAAACAGGAAATAATTAAAATCAGAACCAATGAAATGTAGAATAAAAAATGATACACAGGATCAATGCTACAAAGTAAAGCTCAGGACCACATGGATTCTTTAGTATATATAACTTTAATCCACTTGCTTTTAAATATATATATATATATATTTTTCTTAGTTTGAGATGAACCTTTGTTTTCATTTATCTATCTATCTATCTATCTATCTATCTATCTATCTATCTATCTATCTATCTATCTATCTATTTATATGTGCTATGCCCCCTGGTGGAGCCCCGCTGCACTGCGGCTGTCTCAGAGCCAACCAAGACCCAGGTATCCCTTGTGCTGGGCATTTTAAGACTTCTTTGAGAAGGTAAGAGACATTTTTTTCATCATGGTCAAGAGCCTTCTATTTTAATGCACCATGTCCACTGTGATTCATGCTCAGGTCACTCAGGGACAGAAGATTGCAAAGGCCCTTCCCAGGAGGTGCTGGGCAGAGTGGCACAGCAGGATGGGGTCCCCCTGACCCCCACTGACCAGCTATCCTCCTTTCCTTCTCGCTGCTTACATCGTCCTGAGCAGGCCACCTTCCACCTTCCCCAAGGCACTGGATGCAAACTGCTTACAGCATTTACAGCCTGTGACGTTTTCAGTTGAAGTGGTAGGTCAGTCCCTAGGTTCTGGAAATTTAAAATAATCAGCTTGGGTGACAGACTGCTTTCCCTTAAATGCAATGGCAATGTCTTTTATATTTCTGTACCCCAGTATTTTCTTAATATTAGCAATCTGGCGATTGTAATATCAGAGTTGGCACAATTTGTAAGTAGTCATAAAACAAATGCCAACACTGGTTATGATTCATATTGCTCTAGCTGCTAGTTCTCCAATACTTGCAGATCTGGGCCATTCTTGGCTACCACAGAACGTGGCCAGGCAGAGGAAGACATGCACAGTGCCTCCTTCGTTTCTGCTTAGGATGGGATAATTTTCTTACAGGCTCTGTGACCATATGTCCCATATTTCCTGGGATAGTCATAATTTCAAATATGCTGTTTTGTTTTCATAAACAGTTAGATTTTATCAGACTGTGAGTCCCCGTTTTTTATTGGACATCTTATCTAAGGGCAGGTGCCCAGCAGTGAAGAGGTGTGCCAAGTGTTTCATTTGAAACTTGTGAGAGTGGGGACAGATCACAGCCAGTCCGTCTCTCCAAGTCCAGGCACACCCTGATGGTGTGTCCACAGCATCACCTTCCTGGGAGGAGGTGCATCTGCAGGTCAGCCTGAGTGGGAAGCTAAGGCATGAAAAGTGAAGTCAGTGGGGTAATGCTCTTCACGGTGTTGGAAGGAAGAGGAAGCCGCATATCGCCCCGCTAATTGGTGGCGCCTCCTAGAGGAGGACGGAAGTGCCGGGGCAGATGCCCCACTGTATTAGTAAGAGCTGTGAGTCAGTGGACCTTAATGACAAGTGGCACAAGCTACATGGTGCATGCAGGTATCGTTTGTGTGGTCACATCTCAAATTTGTGTCTTTATTGCAGAGACTTTCAAAATAGAAAGTATGGGCTCTTTTGCAAGCTATGGAAACTGCAGGTTCCAGTTCACATTCTGTTGGAGACACTGTGCTGTGCTGGATGCAGCACTCAAATCACGTTTGAATATATATGATTCCAGAGCTGGATGTGAAGCTCCCAGGGACCTGGGGGAAGGAAAGCCCTGCCTGGGTGGCAGTGGGTGTCAGCCTGAGGCCTGAAGAGGGAGAAGATTTTGCCTCCTGTTCCCCAAGCCCTCTGCACCCCTCTGTCCAACAGCCTCCACTGCCCTTCCATCAGAGACAGACGCCAGATGATTCCCAGAAGTGAGTGAGATAGGACAAGACACTTGGTCATCTTCTCCTCTCATGAAAGACCCTCAAATTGGTCATAACCAGCTTTGGAGGATTCAGAATTAGTTGTTAATCGTGCTCAGAATCACACCTATCACCATTCTTTCAGGACTCAAATTTTTGAAGACACTCTCCTACCAATCTATAGATATTTTAGAGGTAAGAATTTAAAAGTCTTTTGTGTTTATCACTCTCCAGTTCTGGTGCAGGTGGGGCACCTGTGGCAGAGCCCTGCGACAGGCAACATGCAGTGCATGGCACAGGGTGCCTGTGTATTAGTAAGCCCCACTGTATTAGTAAGGGCTGTGAGTCAGAGTGGACCTTAACGACAAGGGGCACAAGCTATATGGTGCATGCAGGAGTCATGTCTATCTCCCTAATGGACATGATTAGCCAGTCACACTATTCCTCACAACTATGGCTTCTTCATTTGAAAGTGCTATGGACAATACAAACACTAGAACTCCTTTACTTCAAGATAGCAGGTACTTTTTGCATTAATGCTAAAAATTCTTTAAAAGACATTCATCTTTGTAATTCGGAAAGGATGTCATGTGAAACTTCATGCAGAGCCTGGTTCCTGCACAAATGCAGGGTGCTATGGACTGACCCTTGTGGCTGAATTAGTCCTTGCTGGACACAAGTGATCTGCCCCTGCTCACTCTTGCACACGACAACCTGCCTGGAAATTGTCTGCAGCGGGGACATGAGTTACCATTTACAAAACAACCTTCAGAAATCAGATCGACTCCCGTCAGGAGGCCCACAGTCCAGTTTCCAGATTGGTTCTGCTTGGTGGCCAAGCTCCACCTACCTGCCCAGCTCTGGTCCTGCCCATGGACCGGCAGAGCAGTTTCCCTTCAGCTGGACCGATGATGTCCCGTGTCCCAACACAGAGGATACAGACCCTCAGGTGCTGGCTTGGTCTGTAGCTCTCATGATGAGCCTGTGATGAAAATGGATGTGAGGGGCTGAGCCAAAGCCAGGGGGCAGATTCCAAGGGAAGCTCTGCTCTTTGGAGCAAATGAGGTGTTTCCCTTCAGGTTGATGGTGATGAGAACTCAATGACAGTGTCGGAGGTAAGAAAATGCTTTCATTCCCTTTCCTAATTAAACTTAGGAAAGAAAATGTTTTGGGGACCCAAGATTAGCTAGCAGAGGCTGTGAGCAGCAGGTTCCACCTCTAAGGATGCTCATGGGGTGATGTGGGAGAGCCTTCAGAGAAGCCCACCCACGTAGACTGGAAACACTGTGGACCAACCTGAGGGCCAGAGCCAGTGTCCACTTCAAGTGCAGTTGTGCAAGTACACTGGGCAGGCCCACCATTGTCTGACTACCTAGGTGTGTGTAGGTGCAGGGGCACACCCACCAGTGCTGTGACTACCTAGGTGTGTGTAGGTGCAGGGGCACACTCACCAGTGCCTGACTACCTAGGTGTGTGCAGGTGCAGGGTGCACACCCACCAGTGCCTGACTACCTAGGTCTGTGTAGGTGTAGGGGCACGCCCACCAGTGTTGTGACTACTTAGGTGTCTGCAGGTGCAGGGGCACACCCACCAGTGCCTGACTACATAGGTGTGTGTAGGTGTAGGGGCACACCCACCAGTGCCTGACTACCTAGGTGTGTGCAGGTGCAGGGGCACACTCACCAGTGCCTGACTACCTAGGTGTGTGTAGGTGCAGGGGCACACCCACCAGAGCCTGACTACCTAGGTGTGTGTAGGTGCAGGGGCACACCCACCAGTGCTGTGACTACCTATGTGGGTGCAGGTACGGGGCACGCCCACCAGAGCATGACTACCTAGGTTTGTGCAGGTGCAGGGGAATGCCCACCAGAGCCTGACTACCTAGGTGTGTGCAGGTGCAGGGGCACACTCACCAGTGCTGTGACTACCTAGGTGTATGCAGGTGCAGGGGCACACTCACCAGTGCCTGACTACCTAGGTGTGTGCAGGTGCAGGGGGCACACTCACCAGTGCTGTGACTACCTATGTGTGTGCAGGTGCAGGGGCACGCCCACCAGAGCATGACTACCTAGGTGTGTGTAGGTGCAGGGGAATGCCCACCAGAGCCTGACTACCTAGGTGTGTGCAGGTGCAGGGGCACACTCACCAGTGCTGTGACTACCTAGGTGTATGCAGGTGCAGGGGCACACTCACCAGTGCCTGAGTACCTAAGTGTGTGCAGGTGCAGGGGCACGCCCACCAGTGCTGTGTCCACCTAGGAGAAGCTACATAGACAGCAGGAAGGTCAGTGGCTGCCAGCGATGGAGGGAGTGGCGGAGAGAAGGCCCGGGCACGGTGGGCTGGTTCTGGGAAGGTAGGATCTGCATGCGCTCTGCTGGCAGGCACATCTCCTTACTGTCTGTCCTGTCACAGGCCACAGGGCAGCAGGCGAACCCGCGGCAGCCGGGTGTGGGTGGGCCGCTGGTGACGAACGGCCACTCTGTGGGGATGGGATAACAGGGAAAGCTCTGAGTGTGGGGGGTAAGGACACTGGACACTCCCTCCAGTGCACTGAGTTCCTCGAGAGCGGTCTCTGTCTGCTACTCCTCATCCCCAGCACCTGCACTCCCGCCTGCACTGACCAGAGCTTAATACCTATCGGCCATGACCCACCCAGAAATGGGAATGGGCAGCTGTGCCGATGGACATCCTGCTCCCACTGGGATGACAGCTGTGGGGTCTCATGCTCGAGGTGTGCAGGCGGCTGCCCCTCACGCTCTGGTCCACACCTCAGCCTTAGCTAAGAGGAAGGAAGGTGAGACGGACCCTCGTGTTTGTTAAGACTTGGCGCTGCATGTTTTCATTTCCCTCCACCTTGTTCCATATTGTGTAGTGTCATCTGCCTTTGGTGGCCCTAAAAGCCAAGCAAAGTGAAAAGTGTGTTTGCTCCCTAATTTGTTTGTCATCCTTATGGGAAGATGAACTATGCAAAGGTAGAGGCCATGGGCAGGGCGTCTACGTCTTGCTGGTGACCAAGAACACCCACCAAGGGTTCCTGGGGGTGGTTCTCACCCACTTTTCATCCTCCTGCTGTTCCATGTCACTCACTCCACTGTGGTGTTTCTCTCCCACTCGCTGACCCTCAGCTCCCATGGGGACACACAGTCCAAGCTTGGCACTAGCTTGGTAAGAGGCCTGTGTGTAGGCACAGGGTCCAGAGACAGCCTCCAAGGAGTCAGACGCTGCATGGCAGAGCCACGACTGGACTCTGGTGGGAGCCCAGACCCTGAGTCTGCTGACCCAACACCGTCCCAATGCCACTCGTGTGAACAGTGCAGGCGGAGCCCGACAGAAACTCGCAGACCCAAGCAAACGGGTGTTTGCACTGAATCCCAGAGCAGCTTCCTCCAATGCCCAGAAATTTTAGCAAAGAAGGAGGAAATAGGCAAGCACCAGACCTACCTGGGGATGTGGATCAGAGCAGCAGGAGCGACAGCAGGGGTCAGGCAATTCCCGGCCCTCTGGACGCTGTTAATCTTACTTGTAAGGTGTGATGGGACCTGCAGAGGAGGAACACACTGGGAGCCAGGAAGGTGCCCGAGTCGGTGAGTGCCAGGCAAATCTGAATTTTGAAGAGGCCAAACCTTCCCGGGGGGGGGGGCAGAGGTTGCTAACTCTGAAAGGCCGGCAGAGTGACAGCCTGATTAAAGGAGAATGGTGCTGTCTTGAGTCTGGGGTGGTTGTCCCAGCGGGGTTCTTTTAGCTTTGTGTCCAGGAGAGATGTGCCCAGAGCGTGCCTGGGCCTGACTACTGTGCTTCATGCCAAAGGCGGCAGTGGAGCACTGCTGGGTCTGGGCAACTGCTGCCCTCGCTGTCCTCCTCCCCTACTGAGTCCTGCACCCAAAGCAGTGAGCCCTCGCCACTCCCCCACCCACTCTCAGCACTGTCAGTTGCCCAGTCAGTTCCCCTGGGGTCTCCTCTAGAGAAGGCGGGACTGGCATGACTGGAGACAAGCACTCTTCACTCTTGTGCCCAGTGAATAGCTCCACACACACAAAAAAAAACAATAAAGTTGGGAGTGCCACCCAGCCCAGGAGGCGCGTCATTTGCAGGCTTCATGCGGGTGCCCTTCAGGAGCGGGCCCACTTCTTGGCGTGAACTCTTTAGAGCCTCTCCTGTTTCTAAAGACACAAGGGTTTCACTTGAAAAAATAGCAAACGCTTTAAACAGGTGTCTTTTCTGGAGGACGTTAAGACAATGTGGGAGAATATGAAACCTCATGCTGTCTTTAAAAAGAGGCCTCCTGCAGCCCTCCAAGGAGCGCAGGGCCCCTCACTTGTGCTGGACACGTTCCGCTCTTTCCTCTTCTACACTGTGCTCAATCTGCCTGTCCACTCTGCGTTCATCCTCCTGCTGACCATTAACAAAGGCAGAAGCCAGGTGCATCATGTGGGAGCAAGAGGTCTTTGAAGTTTCTTTATAGAGGCACCAAGTACCAGGCAAGGAGGATTGATGATTCATTGATTTGATTACCATGCACAAACTGTTCTTTTCTGGATGTATAACTGAAACACTGTCCTCAAAATGCAAGAGGACATTGCTTGCAATAATAGATGAAAATGAAAAGCAGGCTTCTTAGCAGGACCTTATGAGGGTTCACGATGAAATGGAATCTGTAGACAATAGAACCTTTCACACGTCAGGGCAAGTGAAATGTCAAATAATTCCTCAAGTACAAGGAGCGTCTTGTTAATCCCTGCAAGAGTCTCAATGCTCTTTGTGCAACGGGGAAGACAGAGTTGGAGCAGGGTGGTGATGAGAAGGAAACTCTTGTCCAGAGACACATCCTCTGCCTGCAGCTCCGTGGGCACCATGTCTGTCCTGCAGCACAGGAGGATTCTGGGAAACACACACTTCCCTAGTGAATTTCAAGAGCAATGGCAAATAAAAGATGTGCAAGACCAAGCTCAGGAGTTAACAATTTCCTACCAAGTTTATAATCAGAGACAATGAAGAACATTATGTTAGTAACGTTCCTAACAATTCATGCACAAAAAATGCTCTCACAAGTCAATTGGTTAAAGGTAACCTCATCACCTTGTCCTAGTAAAAATATGGCTAAGGACCAGAACCAGTGTTCCCCAAAGAAAACACTCAAAAGGCTAGCAAACTTGTGGGAAATATCAAATCTAAAGAAATGCAAAATAAAAATAGGATAAAATATGCCATTCTTGACTATATAAGATGCAAGGACTCCCACCCCCAAATGACAATGCTAGTTTAGCAGATTTTGGAAATGTGCAGCCTTTGGCGTTTTGGTGGGCAAACGGGGGCATTGCTCTCTGGAGTGAGTCATCTTCAGGAGAGACGGTGGCTCGTGCCATGCAGGGGTGCACTAGGACTAGCCTAAATAGCAGGAAAGGGGGTGCAGCAACACCTCTGTCCCCCTCCCAGCCCACCTCCGCGTGGCTATAGAACTGGCTTGTGTTAACCTTAGTCTTCCTCATTGGAGTCCTGCGCAGCAAGTCAAGTCAATCGCTACCCTTGCTTTATGAAAAATCATCATGGTGAGCCCCTGCATGAGCCTTTTAATAAATATTTATTTGTGAAAATGAAATAAGCACCTATGAGTTCATCTCCCTCCGTGAAAGCCAGGACTGAATGATGAAGGCACCTAAGGGTCCGTGTTCTGCCTCGCATCCAGGTGGCCTGGACGGACCTATTCTGTCTGATGTCTTGACAGTGGTTAGTGGACAATCGGACAGTATGGGTGATAGAGACCGGGAACCTGAGCAAGATGGGCGCACTGAGGTCCAACTACCAGGGTAGATTTGCAAGATGACAGCACTGGGCTCAGCAGGCAAAATGTGCTGAGAATGTTCTTTGTTATTTAAACTATGCATGAGTCTTCAATTACATTAATACATTTTACGTTTAAAAGTAAGGTTATCAAATTTGGCAAATAAAGATACAGAGTGAACAGTTAAATTTCAATTTCAGGTAAACATTTTTTTAGCAAATGTAGGCCTCAAATATTGATCAAATGGGTAGACCTACCCTTTAAAGTCATTGTTGTGGCTGGGCAGAGTGGCTCAGGAGGCTGAGGCAGGAGAATCACAAGATCAAAGGCTGTCTCAGCAACTTAGTGAGGTCCTAAGCAACTGACCCTCAGCTCTCAGGCCCAGGATCCTGACTCCCCTCCTGGACCCCGGCATGACCAGCTCAGAGCGTTCAAGGTCTCAAGCACAGAGGAGGGCACCCATTTATAGTTCTGAACAGGAAACAAGACTTGTAAGCAAATAAGAAGCCAGTGAAGTCCTCTGCCC